TCACGGACCGCGAGATCATGACCTGAGCCGAAGTCGGACGCTTAACCCACTGAGTCACCCAGGCGCCCCTAAAGTGTACTTTAAAGTGTAACTTTAAAATATTGTATTTTGAGGTAGTAAAATTCGTGGATGAATTATGCTGGTTTCTTTTATGTTTATTAAAATACTGTTTGCATAATTAGATACATTTATATCATATTTTAGTTATTCCCCAATGAAAACTGATCTAGGAATAACAAGACAACCATCTATTAAGGGCTATGTAACATCACTGTAAAATTAGTGGGTGAAGAGCTCTCATTTATTCATAAAATGTACTTGATGAATCATCTAATAGTGCATACTTGATATTTTATTCTGCCTAACTGGAAAAGATTCCACTACTAATTCATGTTATGTAGCAAACAAAATATTTCCACAATCAAGTAAGCCTGTGTGCAATCCTGCATTCATTTTGGTCCTTGACTATGGAGGCACTGACAATTTTCAGTCTTTAATTTTAGTCATGACTTCAATTATTTAGGTATGGCACTTACTAAGGGTCAAATATCTGTTTAACGACAAAGATTTTACTTCCAAGTGGAAATGCAGATGCAACTTTAAGCAAAGCTTGTTCTTCAAGGGATACTAGAAAACTTCATAGAATTAGTCTGCCGTGTTCACCTGAGAATCCTTATTAGCAGATTATAAATGTATACGGACTTTTAACAATATGTTAGGATTCTGGCCTCTAAGTAGCAGTTTTACATTGAGATTATAAGTGGAAATATGGTAACTAGCTACGCATACTCAGAAGAGGAGGACTGTGTGATGTCTAAAAGTAATCTCTAAGAATGAAAAAACGCAGTGGTGACACTAAATGCGGCAAGAACACTCAGAAACTAGGTCACTTGTACACCGCAGGTGGAAGTGTACATTTAGCAGATTTCTATAAAATCAAACACACATTTACCACACAACCCAGCAAATTGTACTCTTGGGCATTGATGCTAAAGTAATGAAAATGTATGTTCACCTAAAACCGTGTTTGCAAATATTCATATATATTCGCAGCAACATTATTTGTAGTAGCCACAAACTGGAAACATCCCGGATGAACTCTACTGGGAAAAACAGCTAAAGAATTACTGTGCATTCATAGTATGGAATACTACTCAGCAATAAAAATAACACCCTGTTGATATATGCAACAAGGTGGATGAATCTTTAGGGGATTATACCTGGTGGGGGAAAAAAAAAAAAAACAATCCCAAAAGGTGACATATTGTAAGATTCTGTCCATTTCACATTCTTGAGTTGATGAAATTTTAGAAACTGATAATGGATTAGTAGTTGCCAGTTTCAAGGAGAAGAGATGGAAGTAAGTGAGATTGGCATATAAAACAGCAACAGGAAGGATCCTCATAATGTTGGAACTGTTCAGTATTTTGATGATGGTGTGGCTACGTAAACATACACAGGTGATAAATTACATAGAACTAAACATTCATCCAAGTAAAACTGGGGGGAAATCTAAATAAGATTTGAAGATCAAATAATTTCGACTACCTGGATATTTTGTATAGTTTTTCAAGATGATAATTTTGTATGTTACATCACTGAAAAAAACTGAGTTAAGGATACAAAGGATCTGTCCATATCGTGTCTTTTTGTTTTTAATTTTTTAATGTTTATTTATTCTTGAGAGAGAGAGAGAGAGAGAGAGAGAGAAGGGGCAGAGAGAGATGGAGACACAGAAATAGAAGCAGGCTCCAGGCTCCGAGCTGTCAGCACAGAGCTCAACGCAGGGCTCTAACCAATGAACCATGAGATCATGACCTGAGCCAAAGTTGGACCCTCAACCGACTGAGCCCCCAGGAGCCCCTGTCCATATCATTTCTAATGGCTGCATGTGAATCCATAATCTCACAATTAAAAGTTCAAATGAAAGACAAAATATTCCCTTGCTTCAATGATATTCCACTCTTAGAAAGCCTTGTTTAGGCTTGCGTGGGCACCATGATTTTCCTCATTGCAGCACTGCACGTCCTAGCTCCATTACACTTAGAGGAGTGAGTTTGTTCACTGCCTCTTTCACTCCTAGTTCTAATTATTAGTATGATGCTTATAGAGTGTTAATGAGTTTTTCTGTGATGTCACAAAATTCATTGAATACTTCATATTTATCTCTCCAACCTGTTCAGAGAATACCAATTTCCAAATAAATAAGTCTACAAATAAAAGTAGGTTTAGGAGCCATTTTTGTTGGAGCCACACTGAAAAAAAAAATTGAAATACGTAGTAAGTGCCCAGACAAGCTCTGTAAAAAGCCCACGATGTGGCTAACGTGTTATAAAATTATATCGGTCAAATCTTTGATCTGATAGGAAAAATACTGATCACACCTGACAGATAGGGGTTACTGAGATTCAGATAGGAGAGAAGAGTATAGATAGAAAGTATTAGAATAATAGTCATCTTTGGGGCACCTGGGTGGTTCAGTTGTTTAAGCGTCCAATTTTGGCTCAGGTCATGATCTCTGCAGTTGGTGGGTTCGAGCCCCACATCGGGCTCCGTGCAAACAGCTCAGGGCCTGAAGCCTGCTTCAGATTCTGTGTCTTACTCTCTCTCTGCCCCTCCCCAGCTTGTGCTCTGTCTCTCTCACTCTGTCTTTCAAAAATAAATAAACATTAAAAGAATTTAAAAAAATAGTCATCTTTTAAGGAGCCACACTTATAAAATCCTCAGGTTTTAAAATTTGCTCTGGCCTTGGAATAGTTATTCAGGTTTTAAACAGTTTTTAATGTCTTAAAAACAGTCCCCAGTCAACCATTCCATACAGAAATCTGATAAAGACAAATTGTGCAAGATCACACCTCATTTGCGGTAATAGGCTGGGTCACCACATGACAAAAAAAAAAAAAAAAAAAAAAGAAAAAAAAATTCTTCTGCTTGGCTTAAAGTGTCTATAAAAGTTCAGTCTTGTTACATGAAAGCTGAAAGGCATGAATGGAGTGACAAGTGAAATAAAGAACAATAAGAAAAGGAGAAAGAAAAGAAAGAAAGGTAGCCTGCTGGTACTATGTAAGTGATGGTTTAAAGTAGCATCAAGAAATGAGCAGAGAAGGGATCCTGGGAAGAGAAAGCAAATATAATAACTTTACATCCTGGTCAAAATGTATGGTCATTAACAGTTATACACATCTCTATAGAATAGGTCTCATAGGTGTTGGGCAATTCTAATGTGCATGAAGCAAGGGAGAGGAAATTACCTGTATCACTCTACTTTGGTGGCATCTGAAGGTATGAGGACACCACTCTGTATACACAGATTGCTGGCTGAAGGGAACACACATATATGTACACCATATAGCCCAAC